TTCGAAACTTATGCCAAATAAGTGTACACTTTTCCAACTGGAAATTGCTTTTCTAGGACACACAGTGCAAATTTAGATTATGATATTTATTTTTCCAAGAATTACAGCAGTTTACAAATTTGAACTAAGAAAATTTGTTCAGCCAAAAACTTGAAAGGTATTGGTCAACATGTTTTTGATACAGAAATTTTAATTTGCCAGGAATAATCATAATTGATTTAATTGTACCCTGTCAAAGTCAAAGATGTTTATTACACAAAAGGCCTCTGGACAATATACACCGGAGTTATATACATATACATATGTTGCAATAAGTAGTTATTAGTGATCCAAACAGTGAATCATGTTACAGGCAGTAAATTGCGTTACAAGTAGTGAAATACGATGGATCTACAAAACTTTGTCAGAATGTCACATTTACTAAGAGTATAATTAATATAGTACGACAGCTTTATTAGTACATGCTGGTCAATTGATGAAAGAAGTAGTTTCAAAGCTAATGAAGGTGGCTTACATAGATAATATTCAGCTATATATTTCGTATGCAAATCTTTATAAAAAGGACATACAAGTAAAAGTGAATTTCATTTTCCACATCTAAATTACACAGAGGGCACATTCTCTTGCATGTTTCAATATAAAAATGTCTTAATTCGTTTACCATTATGTTGATCAAGCCTAACCTAAAATGTATAAATGGATACTGTAAACCTATTATATAACGTGCAGGTTTTATTTTCGTGCTTTTCGCGCAAAATATTTTACCGCGAAAATGTATACACAGCAAATAAACCTTTCATTTATTCACTCTACCCACGCTCGCCTCTAAGTTGTTACCATAATACAGAAATGGGAATCTTAAAATGACGACTGATAGTAGTATACAGAATCATACTTAACAGTTAACTGTCGCTGTATAGATTTCCCAAATCATGTCCTGACATGTTCTATTTTGACCAACCGTAGTGACAGATGGTTTGATACAAAACGGATTACCATGACGCGACTTGAAGAAATGATACAGCAGTATTTTAGTGGCGGCTTAAGCTATTAGTAGCGGCCTAAGAGACAGCTGGCAGTTCCAGCAATTACTCATTACGCAAATAATTGACCGTGCGATGTAGTCTAAACTGTCAATTCTGCAAAATTTGCACCAAGCAAATTAAAGTACGTTTACAGTATCTTAATTTCTTTGATGTTAAAAACGATAGATATTTCTCCAGCTGGAGATTTGTATATTCTGTAAGAGTCATACCGTGAACTATTAAATAATTTCTTCATAACTGGCAGCTCCGATTGTTTCAGTAGAAAAAATCACTGGGGTGTGATAATCCCCTCTAATCCCTTATTTTGTTCCCTATGAAATAGTATTCATGACCAAATGGGACAAAATACTAGTACTTTTGACTCAGTGTATATATAGACATTAATATCAACATCATATCACATATTACAGCACACTTTTCACACTTAATATTTCACGTATCCATTTATGCATCAATTATATAATACAGTCATCCCTTGCTATAACGCGGGTCTCGGGGTCCACGGACGACCTCCCAGTGTTATTGCTAACATGGAATGTAGACCGTCGGATGAAAGACTAATTAACATGCACATGTGTATACACAAAACGTATGTCTATTCCGTGAATGGTTACGAAACTAGCAAAACTACGAAAATAAAATTGTACCCAAGTATTTGTGTGTTTTCTTTTAGTCAGATTGATCTTTAATATGCAAATCTGCAAATATGGTAAGATATGGTAAGTGTTAAACCTTCTGCTTGTTTCACTATCAAACTCGCCGACTGACTGTTCAGCCATATTTCTAAATGAAGCAATGTCACGCATTTCCCCGATAAAGAGTTCACTGTAGGCTTGCTTCCTTAATGTAACAGTATCCATGGGTGTTATTTATCGTTCAGATATTTATTTACATGCCGATATATGTGAATAAGGACTTATTTTTTTCAAATGCCAATGTCAACTCACCTACACAAACACATGGGGAGGCGGTGACATGTGAGCTGCCTAGCCATTCAAATAAATCGTACCAGTTTGTTTATTAAAAGGGAGACAGTGATTGGATGATCGCTTTAAAATAGCGAAGAATATCCACCTTGTCACAAGATTGAAGAGAAACACGAAGGGAACTTTAAAGAACACTGCAATAGTTTAATGACATGAATGTGCATGATATAAAATACAAATATTGATCAAAGTACATGTATTTACATGTTTATAGTCCTGCATAAAGCAGTGCAGTAAGTGTTCAAGACAGATAATTGACAATTCAATCTTTATGAGTGCTTTTAGATACTGCTTTTTCTGGGTTCTGGGTTTTGCGCCTGTCACCTAACATTGTCGATACATATCAAGCCTCTTTGAAAAAGTCACGTAAGCTTTTCTGCGTTTTCACATTTTGTGCCTGTCGTTTCAATTTTTCAACAATGTTCTGCATTTGCATAACAGACAGTTCAGAAAAGTCAGCTGATCGTTCCATATGTTTGATAACAATACTGGCACATGATAAAACCTCTGAAACTGGTGTACTGCATTCGTTTTCTGGTTTGATGCCATCATTATCATCTTCCACATCTTCCACTTCTGTATTTTCTGATGTCATGTCATCCTCAATTATTTCTTCGTCCCCCTGGCTTCCAAACACAGGAAGATCATCGTCTATTGCGTTGTACAATTCCACCATTTCAGGGCTGGTGATGAGGGCGTTCTCTGCTGCATGCTTCATACTTTGTGAGTGCATCAGTCACATCTTCTGCATTAAATCCGAAGAAGAGACCCTTGTTCCAACATTTTTCGATAGTTTGCTGTGATAGGGTTTTTCCATGCCATGTGGGAGGTAGTGATTGCATCTTCGGCTGTGACGGTCCTTAGGAAATCCACGGGAGTGAGTCCCGATTCAATGGCACTATTCACAAGTCCTCTTCGCTAGTGAGACTTGTAAGCTTGGATGATGCCTTGATCCATTGGTTGGAGGAGAGAGGTGGTGTTCTTTGGGAGAAGCACTGCTCTAATCTTCCTGTCATGCTATATCAGTGTGGTCATAGGTGGGTGGGCAGGGCAGTATAGCTTTTTATTCAAATCTTAACGTAGATATTGTAGATATTCTCTGACTGCAGGTATAAACTTATGGAATAACCGTTCTTGTAAGATAGCTGCTGTCATCCAGGCATCCTTGGAGGTGGCATAGATAGCAGGTAAGATCGATCGGTTGTCAGCGTGGATTCTGCGACGTTCCTATGATAAGGGGCTTCAGCTTATGTTTTCCTGTTTTGTTACTGGTCAGCAAAACTGTGACATGTTGTTTGGCCTTCTTGAACCCAGCTGAGCATTTATCTTCTGGCATGGACAAGGTTTTTTGTCTGGCAACATCTTATAGTATAGCCCACTTTTGTCACAGTTATAAATTTGATCCGGCTCCAGGCAATTGGACTCGATCAGCTGCCGCAGTTCAGTCGGATAATTGCTAGCTGCTTCCTGGTCGGCAGATCGATGTTCCCCAGTCACCGAAAATGACTTAATTCCATGACGCTGTTGGAAGCGTCATAGCCATCTAGAGCTGGCCTTGAAAGAGTCCTCAGATCCATGAATCTGTCAAGAAAACTTCTGTGCTTGTATTTTCACAATCTCCCCAGATATTGGTGTTCCGTCATGTCTGAACTGAGTAAACCATGTAAAAAGAGCTTTGTCCAGCGTCTGTGTCGTATGCTGTCTTAGCCTTCTTTAAGCTAAGACCCCCGATATCTTCCGTCTCCATCACGAATCCCTTCAACTTCTCCTCATCTTTTAACCAACCCCTGAGGGTGCCTGACGGGACTCCAGTGCTGCGACTGACGCTGGCCTGTGACTCTCCATTCCTAACTCTCTTGATGAGGGCCAATTTGTCTGCAACTGTAAGCTTGAAGTTTGTTTTTCGTAGATGCCATAGTAAACTTCACGTATGGTACAAAACAACTACTACCTGAACTTTTATACCGAAAATGATTTCAGCACTCACTTCTACTTTGAATGTGATTACGGCGTAATGTGATTACAGCTTAATTGAAACTGTTACAAAGTGCTGTGTTTCAGGCTATCTGTACTGAGAATGTTTTCTTTTTCATACTTGATGTGATTTTAAATTTTTTACGGTATTTGTCCGGATTCCACTCTAGTTGACACTGAGCCCGCATCCGCCATGTTGTTACTCCAACCACAACACGCATCATGTTTGATGTTCAAATTAGTTTTGACAGTTCAAAGAGCTGATCTCATTAATTTTCTCTAACAACAGATAATGCAGCAACATATGAGGTAGATGTTTATTTAACAATCAAGGATCAATTGACGATCCCAATTAGATATGGAGAACACACATTGTTATAGACAGATTATTAGGTCAGTGCTTTGCTCTCATTACGCAATATGTATTCACATGAACTTTTTGGGAGCCATGCTTTTCCCAGTGGTTTAACCGAATCCACGGTATCGCGTAGCGAGTTATTGCGAAGGATGACTATATGCATGTTATCAACATCATATCACATATTGCAGCACACTTTTCACAGCACATTTTTCCACTTTGCACAATTAGTAACCAGTTAAATGTGATACTGAGTCTATGTATGACATGACAGTTCTGGCACCAGTTGTCAGTTCTCTCTTGTATATTTCCAAGGCATGGTTCAGTGTTACATGTCATCTCTTCCTACGTGGAGGTCTGGCACCATTTCTTAGCTGTAGAACACATGCCTCTACCCAGGCTTGCTCCTTAAAAAAAGTCATTGGCCTTATAAATGTTGGGGTAGCTTTCTGCAAAGTGCTTACAAGTGCTTAGTTGAACGTTTGCCATCGTGCAATGGAGAAACAAGGAAATCTCCATACTTTATTCTATTTGTCGTTGGCATAGTTCACTCACTTATATTCAATTTGTAGCAAATGAATTATATCTTTATACAGCTTTTTAAGATTTTAGGATGTATTCTTCTCTCTATTGCAGGATACAGTTGAGAGGTACTTTCGCAGCATATGAAGAAATGTGTGGAAGAAAACGAAGCATGATGTTTCTATGGTTCATCCCTTGTAAGAGGAGAACTCTTTTTTCTGGAGGCTTTAGTTCACAAACAGTGTAAAAAAAGTAGACAACCCTGACCCTTTAATTTTACCAAATATACTCAAAGGCAAAAGTTCTTGTGTTTAGATGTGTGAATTAACAACTGATATTTTTATGATGAGACTTTTTTAATATTGCAAGAAAATCATTCCACAATAGGATTGCAAATGGCACACTGTAAATTTTCTGGCAGACACATGCTTATAAGGTCACAGTGAGAGAGTGGTCAAAATGAAATTCACACAGTCAATAATGTGTATGTCCACCATGAACATTGATGCATGCTTGACACCTGCACCTAGTAGAGCCAATCAAGCGTGGCAAGAAGTCTTGTGGAATGGCAGAGTTGCTGAAGTGTGACTGGGGGGATTTGGCTAACTGCTCAATCTCCTCTCCATTTCATCCCAGACATGTTCAATAGAGGACAGATCTGTCAGTTTCTTTCATCAGCGTGGTGCAAGAGGAATTTGGACTTGTCAGTGAAGAGAACATGTCTCCACTCGCCTGCTCTCCACCACAGATGTTGTCTGCACCACTGCAGTGGTAGACATTGGTTATGTAATGTCAAAATCTGTTGTTTGGCAGGAAGTCAAGCACATATCCTGTGTGCAGCAAGACGCCGGCGAATAGTCCTTGGTGATATCCTGTTGACACCAGGAAGTGTTCGGGCTGTCAGTGTGGCGGGATGGAATCTTTGGCGCAGATGGGTGATTCAAATCCAATAGTTGTTGAGTTGCGTGGTTACAGGTGGACAGCCACTTCGGGGGACTGTCTGTTGATAATGTCTCCGCAAGCAGCATATGGGGTTCCTGTGCATGTGAAACTGCTGTACATTGCGCTGGGGTGTTCTGTTCTCAAGCATTCCAGTGACTCGCCACCTTTCATTTTCAGTTAGTGAGTGAGTGAGTTTAGTTTTATGCCGCACTCAGCAATATTCCAGCTATATGGCAGCGGTCTGTAAATAAGTGAGTCTGGACCAGACTTTCCCATCCAGTGATCAACAGCATGAGCATTGATCTGCATAATTGGGAACCGATGACGTGTCAACCAAGTCAGCGAGCCTGACCACCCGATCCCGTTAGTCGCCCCTTACAACAAGCATAGTCGCCTTTTGTGGCAATCATGGGTTGCTGAAGACCTATTCTACCCCGAATCTTCATGGGTCCATTTTCAGTTAGACTTGGCATAGAGAAATGCATGCAGATTCTTCCAAATTTGTGTTTTTGGGACCTGTCGACGTCTAAACAATTATTTTGGTGACAATGATCCGAGGTTTAGAGCCACACTTTCTAAAGGGCACGTTTTATGCCTTCATGAAACACAGCGTGCAAAACAAAAACTACTGCCAGGGCCCAGTTTGAGTTTTGGAATAAGTGCATTATAAAGAATATTGAAATATATTAAACAAGTTTTCTCATTTATATAAACAAATCTGTTGATCACACTTACTTTTGCCTTTGAAGCCGAAGACCCGGGTTCGATTCCCCACATGGGCACAATGTGTTAAGCCCATTTCTGGTGTCCCCCGCCGTGATATTGCTGGAATATTGCTAAAAGCGGCGTAAAACTAAACTCAGTCAGTCAGTTTGCCTTTGAATATATCAGTTCTGAACTTAATATGATCCTAAAAATGGGATTAAGGATTAACTGCAACTAGTTTTTAACAAATATCAAATGACTAAATCATGAAAGTAAGTTCTTCACCAAATAGATATGCTTGCTAACATATATGAGAGTGTGTTAGTGCAACAGTCTAAACTATTTTTAATTTGCATAGAAAATACTTTCATCTATACATACAGAAATTGATTATTCGAAATTAATTAAGCAACACCCATAATTTCTCAGACTGAGCAACTATAATTAACTGGTGTATAAAATACACCTTATGAATTTTGTACTGAAAAGAAAGGGTAGCCAAGATTGTAAAGATTTGGAAAATGACATTACATGCAAAACATTATGAATTCCACTTTTCTTGCACAGCCTTAACTGTCAGTACTATGTTCACATTGAATTGAAGAATAATGTCTTGCAAGTCCAAATACTAACTTTCCTTCAGTGTCTTGTGTAAAATCAATGCACAAGAACAACTGATCAAGATGCCTCCTCATTCCTTGGATCACTCTGTGGATTTGATTCTGAAATCCTGCTCCATTCCTCATGTGAAGTCAGCAGTCATTGAGAGTTTGGACAGTTAGTTCTCTCTGTCTAATACGACAGCCTGAAATGTCTCATACTTGTTCAATGGGATTCAGATCTGGACTCATGGCTGCACATGGGATGGTCTCAACAGCATAATGTTGCAAGGACTTGGTAATACAGCAAGATGCCAAATTTTTCAGTAAAATGCTCTGTTTTCCTTATTCACAGAATTATAGCTCAACATCTTTTCTTATGTTTGTACATAGATTATACATGACATTGTAATCTATCTAGGAGGAAGTATCATCTACTATCAATTTGACTTTGAACATAATTTCTCAAGTAAATCACAACTGTTCCCTGTGTCTTATTAGAAAGTGACAGATTATTCTACTACTTTTAACTTTAGCATGTCTTTATTGCTGTACCATCAATTAATTCAATAAAGTAACTTTTTTTTCGATATCGAAAAGTTTTGTTAATTGAATATATTTGATGTTTTATTTAATCTCTACTCTCTACATTCTACTCTCTCTTATCAACAACTGATTCACAGCAACTGCTGGTGCTGCTGCACGCAACGTTGTGGTTGGTGTTATTTTCATCAACCTTCTGTTTCTGACGGGGGCCCTGTATCTTCAACCCTCGGTAGCTGATGACGGCCAACTTCTGGTTGAGCATAAACAGGGCTCACCCCCTGTGTAAACGGTACTAAACTTTTAAATGAATTATATATATGTTTGTATGGACTATATCCAACAAAGAGCGTCATAACTTCACAAGGCCATATCAAGCTCTGAGTGACAGTGCACATGATGATAATATCATAGATGAAGATTTAGTATCATCTACGGAGAAGTAAAGTATAAACTGCATATGTTAGTGTGTGAACAAATATGGATGTTGAGGCATGATATCAGTAGCAAATATGACAAAAATAATTTACCATGGATCATGAGAATACAGTTCTGTGTGATTTTGTGCACTAGAAACAGAAATGTATAAATATACAAATCATATGAATTTATGATGTACTACATAAAGAATTTAATCAGTCACTGGATTCATGATGATTTTGTGTGAGTGTAATTAGAATGGTAGTTTCACTTGCATGCAAAACAGGAGCATGCCATGTTCCAAATACTTCTTTCCAGATTTAGGTTTGTGTTTGTTTGTTGTTCAACACCTCACCCAGCAATATTTCATCTAACTGGCAGTGGACTGTAAATAATCAAACCAGTGATCAACGGCGTATTACAGACTATCCTTAGTATAATAAAGAATGTAAATGTATTAAGGGGAGGTAATTACCTTGGTGATATCCCAATCAGGAGCAGCTGTAGCTCTCTTGAAACTCCACCATGTTGAAACTTCATATTATCCTCTATAACTACAGAGTGGGCACATGTCAGAGGCTATCCAGCTGAACCGCCTCCGTGGTGTAGTGGTGAGAGCGTCCTCCCGGAGAGCGGAAGGTCGTGGGTTCGTTCCTCGACCGCGTCATACCAAAAGACGTTAAAATATGGTACTTGTTGGTCCCTGCCTGGCGCTCGGCATTAATGGGTACAAGGACAAGTCGGCTCGGAGTCAGTATAATGTGTCTGAGTGGGGTATTCATGCTTCAGTGCGGCATGGTATCTCAGTGGACTAGCACTATAAAACCAGCTTCAGTCTGGGCTAGTACAAGCAGCCGCACATACACATACACACGCATGCACGTCGTCATATGAGCGAAATATTCTCAAGCACGACGATAAACCCAATTTCACCTCACCTATTTTAAGCGTGCCAAGGTTGTTGGACAAAATCTGAAATTTGATGTTGATTTTGTTGATGTTGATTTACTACTGGACGGAACAGCAATGGGAAACCAGGTGAAGTCCTTCACCAAGTCTTCCCAGAGTCGGTCATTTGTGGAGAAGCTTTCTGAGAAACCACTGCATTGTCTGTACATGCAGTGTGTGGAACAGAATAGCAATCCCACCAACTCCTTCGCCTGGACGAAGTCGGCTGGTCTCAAATGTGAAACTGAGGGTTTTCTTTTTGCTGCTCAGGACCAGTCACCTCCCACTCATGATTGCCAAAATGTGATTCTTAAAGAAAATATCAACATGAAATGCCGACTGTGTATAGAATTTACAGAGACTGCCCAACACCTTGTCATTGGATGCCCTTCCATGGCACAAACATCATATCTGAAAAGACATGATGGCATGGCTACCTGCTTTTACTATCATCTTTGCCGTTCCTGTGGCTTTGACTCCGCTGTCCATCCATGGTACGACCCTGAACATGTCCAGGGCGTCATGGAAAATGATGCTTACAAACTTTTGTGGAATAAGCCTATGTACAGCCTCAGAAGAATTCCAGCCAACAAACCTGATCTTGTCCTTTTTATCCCACCGGCATATAATGCGGTGGGATATAGTCGTCGCCTCGTCCGTCCGTCCGTCCGTCCGTCCGTCCGTCCGTCCGTAATCATTTTGTTTCCGGACCATAACTCAAAGACCGTTCGATATTTTTTAACCAAAATTGGTAGATATGTCAAACATAACCTAAGGTGGTGCCTTTTGCTATTTACAGATAATTGTCATTTTTATTTTTCTCGGTTTCCATGGAAACATTTTGGACTTAGTCTTAAAGAAGGGTGGGCTTCGTTTCCGGAGCATAACTCAAGAACCGTTCAATATTTTTCAACAAAACTTGGTAGATGTATGAAACAGAACCTTAAGTGGTGCCTTTTGCTATTTGCCGATTTTTGGCATTTTTATTTTTCCTGGTTTCCATGGAAACATTTTGAACTTAGTCTCAAAAAGTAAGGATTGCTTTCGTTTCCGGAGCATAACTCAAGAACCGTTCAATATTTTTCAACATAACTTGGTAGATATATCAAACAGATCCTAAAGTGGTGCCTTTTGCTATTTGCAGATTTTTGGCATTTTTATTTTTCCCAGTTTCCATGGAAACGATTTGGACTTAGTCCCAAAAGTGAGGGTGGGTGTTTCCAGAGCATAACTCAAGAACCGTTCAATATTTTTCAACAGATAGCATCAAACTCCTAAAGAACCGCTATTTCAGAATTTTATTTTCCCGGTTTTTTCAACAAAAGTGACTTGATAGCATAACTCAAGAACCGTTCAATATCAAACAGATCCTAAAGTTGTGCCTTTTGCTATTTGCAGATTTTGGCATTTTTCTTGGTTTTATTTTTTTCTCCGGCTTTTCCCTCGGAGCATAATGGAAACGATTCGGACAGATCCTAAAGTGGTGCCCCAGAAAAGTTTCCATGGAAACGATTTGGACTTAGTCCCAAAAGTGAGGGGTGGGCTTCGTTTCCAGAGCATAACTCAAGAACCGTTCAATACTTGATAGATTTCAGACTAAAAAACTTGGTAGACTTAGTATGAAACAGAACTCAATATTTTTCAACAAAACTTGGTAGATGTATGAACCTTAAGTGGTGCCTTTTGCTATTTGCCGATTTTGGCATTTTTATTTTTCTTGGTTTCCATGGAAACATTTTGGACTTAGTCTCAAAAGTAAGGATTGCTTTCGCTTTTCGAGCACAACTCAAAACCGTTCAATATTTTTCAACAAAACTTGATAGATATATCAAACAGATCCTAAAGTTGTGCCTTTTGCTATTTGCAGATTTTTGGCATTTTTATTTTTCCCGGTTTCCATGGAAATGATTCGGACTTAATCCCAGAAGTGAGGGGTGGGCTTCGTTTCCGGAGCACAACTCAAAAACCTCTCTATATCTTTCAGCAAAACTTGGCAGATATGTGAGGCAGATATTGAAGTGATGCCTTTTGCTATTTGCAGATATTTGTG